TTTTTTTTATATAAATGATAAACTTTCAAAAAAAATTGTGTGCTATTGCTATCCAATCCACACACGAACGACTTTTCACGGCTACTTGTATACTATATTGAATGGTATAACAAAATAAAATATAAGAAAACTATAATTTAAATAAAAATATCGAGAATTCGAAGGAAAATTAAAACGTGGTATATATTTTGTGGGATAGGTTCCTTAAAGGGATAAGATGGAAAAGAAAAGAACAAGATGTGCTCCTTTCCCACTCGTGTGTTTTGTAGAGCAAATCAAATCAAAGTCATATTGATTTTGTTTTTATTTTTGTCTTCGTTTTAGTTAACCCTAATCAGAGGGAAGAAAAAAAATGTCATATCAAACTTATGTTTCCATTAGTACCAAATAAAGACAAATTTACAAATCATATTTTCTTTAAAACGGTTCTAAACGCTTTGAAAATTAATTCCTAAATTTTAGGATATTTCTATAATTTTGGAATTTCAAAAAATTATAAAAGTGCATAAACAAAAATTTTGAAAATTATTTTATAAAATTAAATCTAAATTTCCAAGACAGAAACACGTGTTCAAAAACAGTTGTTGCGAAGCATGCGCCATAAAGTAGTGTTTTCAAAAATAAAATAAAAATAAAAATATTGCGTAATTTTTAACAATTGACCCTCTTAATTTCCACAACTACACACAGCGGTGGAGACAGACAGCCATCTTTATGACCTTTCTTGGTCATCCTCGTCTTCTTGTTGGAGTCAAAATCACATTTTTTTAGAAAAAAAATACGTTTTTTTTTTGTTGACGTGTTTTCAAAAATAAAATAAAAATAAAAATATTGCGTAATTTTTAACAATTGACCCTCTTAATTTCCACAACTACACACAGCGGTGGAGTCAAAATCACATTTTTTTAGAAAAAAAATACGTTTTTTTTTTGTTGACAAAGTCAAGAAGAGGGAGTATATGCATACAATACACCATGGATGCAGCTTGCTTCATAAATGCAAAGGACTTTGCTCGTGTATTTACACAGAAACACGCGCAGAAATTAGGAGTTCATATTCACAAAAAGCTCTCTGAAACGACAAAGACGGAAAGTAGAAAAGAATCTTGAAATGGATAATCATAATCTCTTCTTGGTTCTTGTCTTCTTTCTTCTCCAATGCCATTTCTTCACGAACTCAGCTGATTCCCAGACAGACCGAGCAGCCCTTTTGTCTTTCAGATCCCAAGTGTCGGACCCAACCGAGGCTCTGTCAAACTGGTCAAACAGTTCGCCACACTGCTCTTGGTTCGGTGTTTCTTGTGATCCACGCAATGGAACTCGAGTCACTTCTCTTCAGCTCATCAGTCTCGGCCTTTCGGGTACTATACCCTCTGCACTCTCTAACCTTTCTTCTCTTGAAACCCTTGATCTCTCCTACAACTCTTTCCACGGCCAGATCCCTTCTGGGTTTTCTCGTCTCTCTTCTCTCAAGTCCCTTCGCTTGTCTCAGAATTCCCTAACCGGGTCGGTTCCGGTTTCTCTTTCTGAGAATCTCGAGCTCCAAGAAATCTTCTTGGACATGAACCAACTCACCGGTGTCATTCCACATGAACTTGGGGCTTTGCAGAAGCTCAGGGCTCTTGAATTTTCAGTGAATAACATATCGGGTTCGATTCCTTCCTCCTTTGGTAAGCTGTCTTCTCTGAAGAACCTGTCAATCGTACAAAACCGGCTCTCGGGAGAAATCCCACCCGAGATCGGCTTTTTGAGAAAGCTTCAGAGAGTTTATCTTTCTCAGAATCACCTTGATGGTGAAATCCCAGCTTCCCTTTACAACATACCTTCTCTGGTGACTTTGTCTTTGGCACAGAACAATCTCACAGGAACCTTGAGGACCCATCTCGGTATCTCTCTTTCAAATCTCAAAGAGTTGTATCTGGGTGGGAACCGTTTTCATGGCAGATTGCCAGATTCTTTGTCCAACTTAACAGAGCTTGAGTCCCTTGATCTTTCTGGAAACGGGTTTTTCGGGTCGATCCCTTTATTCGGTAAAGCCTCCAAGCTACGTTACCTTGACCTCGGCATGAACCCTCTGTCGTCTGATACAGAGCAGAACATTCTTATGTTCGATTCTCTGACGAACTGTACTCAACTGGAGATTTTCAAGCTGTACGGTAACAAACTCTCTGGAGAACTACCGGGTTCTGTCGGAAACCTCTCACGCAATCTCCAGCACTTTTGTGTTTCTAACAATTCCTTGACCGGTCGATTCCCAGAAGGGATTGGAAACCTCTCCGGTCTCATATCATTATCCATAGAAATGAATGACTTCTCCGGAGAAATTCCGAGAAGCATTGGATCACTTGCAAGGTTACAGTCGCTACTGATTTTCCAGAACCGGTTTTCAGGAGAAATTCCTGATCTTTTTGGGAGTCTGTCTCAGTTGTATTCAGTTTATATGGATTACAATCAGTTCTCGGGGAGAATTCCTCCTTCCATTGCAGCCTCCCGACAACTGAGCAATCTGAGCATGGAAGGAAACATGCTCAATGGAAGTATACCGACAGAGATTTTCGAGATACCGAACTTGAAAAGTTTGTCGCTGGCAGGAAATTATCTAACCGGTCGTGTTCCTGATGAGGTCAAGAACCTGAGACAGGTGACAGCCATTGATCTCTCATATAACCAGCTGACTGGTAACATCACTGCTTCTCTTGGTAGCTGCTCAACCTTGAATTCTCTAGTGATGTCAAACAACAATTTTACGGGGCCGATACCGAGATCTCTTGGAAGTTTAGCGTCTTTGGAAACGTTAGATCTCTCCTCAAACAATCTTTCGGGGAAAATCCCGAAGGAACTTTCACAGCTTCTGGACCTGAAGAACTTGAACCTTTCCTTCAACAACTTGGAAGGTGACATCCCTGTTGGAGGAGTCTTTGCAAATACCAGTGTGGCTTTTCTCCAAGGGAACAACCTTCTCTGCAGCGGAAACCAAGAAACTTCAGAAAGGTTTAGACTTTCACGTTGTATCGCCGGGAAAGAGAACAAGAACTCGAGAAAACTAAGAATCATTGTCCCCGTGGCCTGTCTCGTGGCTGTACTTTTCTTCCTGTTGCTTCTCGTTCTTGTTTTGAGAGTTCGGAACAAGAAACGGGCCGATGTCAAATCTCCTCGCGTCAAAGGGCTGCCCCCGATGATATCTTACAACGACATCCGTGCAGCCACGGGTGATTTCGCGGACAACAATCTGATCGGAAAAGGAGGTTCTGGATCTGTATACAGGGGCCTCTTCAGAACAAGAAAGGAGGAAGAAGAAGGGGGAGAAACCCTAGCCGTCAAAGTCCTTAACTTACAACAAAAGAAAGCCTCGAAGAGCTTCGCCCGGGAGTGCAAAGCTCTGAGGAACATTCGTCACAGAAACCTAGTAAAGATCATCACTTCTTGTTCCAGTGTCGATAACAAAGGAGCCGAGTTCAAGGCCTTGGTAATGGAGTTCATGCCCAATGGCTCTCTCGACCAGTGGCTGTATCCGATGGATTCAGAATCTTCTTCCCAGTCCCTGACGTTGTCACAGAGGTTGAGTATTCTCTTGGACGTGGCTTCCGCCATGGATTATCTCCACAACGATTGTGATCCTCCCATCGTGCATTGCGATCTGAAACCTGGAAACGTTCTTTTGGATCGAAACATGACTGCCCATGTCGGAGATTTCGGATTATCGAGGTTTCTGCACAAAATCGACCAATCAGAAGAAAGCAACACCATAGGAGTACAAGGCTCCATAGGTTACATTGCTCCAGGTATGATCCATATGATTCTTCTGCTACACTTTCTGCGTTACCTTTCTTCGCAAGTCATCGTCTTTATCCGATTTCGTTACAGAGTACGGATTTGGAGGGAAACCCGACACAAGTGGAGATGTCTACAGTTTCGGTATTCTGGTTTTAGAGATGTCCATCGGGAAAAAACCCACTGACGAGATGTTTAAAGAAGGACTCAACATGAACAAGTTCGCGTCGGCCTCAAACGCAAACGCTGAAAATGTCACCGAGATCGCGGACCAGAGGCTCTTCAACTTCACGAGCAGCAGCGACGAGAGCTCTGGCGCGTTAAGCGGCGGAAGCTCAAACAGCGGCAGCGATTGGGGACGCAGTAAGAGCGAAGGATGTGTGGCGGCTGTGATAAGGGTCGGGTTGGAATGCACAGTTGAATCGTCAAACGCGCGTTTGAACATGAGAGAGGCGTTGGCCATGTTAACGGAGATCAATAAAACGTTCCTCGGACCTAACTAAGATGTTATAGTATAATATTTTTTTAATCTTCCGCTAATCATATTTTGGTATGCTGTATGTGATATTTGTGTTCTTTGTATACTCCAACGCTTAAATTCCTAAATTAATAAACGAATTTTCAATTCATAATTTTCCCATAAAAAAAAGGCATAAATGTTACTCCAGTCAAAAGTCACATATGAAAATATACAACGTCATAAAATCCAGTCAAAAGTCGCATATAATAACTATTTATATAATTTTAATAAAATTTTCATCAAAATAATCACTAGTCTAAAATATCCGAATGCATGGAACATAAATTAATTGAATAATATTGAAATGAACACCAAATATATAATTAATTGTAAAAAAACTAAGATTATATTTCATAGGAAATAACTAAATCTCGAAAATCAATCACAAGAACTAGTTCATATTAAAAAAAAAAACAAATAATAACACAGATACTAAAAAGAAATCTAAAAGGAATTGGAATTCTTTTTACAATAGAGAATAACCTCTTTGATATTCTCGTCGCGTTCGACGGTGCTCATGCCGCCGTGAGAATGAGCCGGCGACGATTTGACGGAGTGAACGGCGGAGTGACGGCGTCGATCCTCCGGCGCCGGCGCCGCCGCCGATCCAGCGCACATCCACAGCCTCATCAACGTCTCCAATATTCGGAAGCCTCTTCTGTTATTATTACTTCTCGATTGCGACATTATCAAAACTAGGGTTTTTTTATTTTTTCTTGTGAAAGAAAACCAGGGTTTTTATTTATTTATTTATTTATTTATTTTTGCTGTCATCAGAATCTATTTAGAGATGAAGATGCGGAAGATCTTGTGGGGATGCAGTTTCTGTTTCAGTGCCTCTACGTATTTTTCGTTCTTTTTAAACCGATTTATTTTTCTATATATTTTAACTATTTTCTATTTGAAATTTGATTAAAAGGAAAATTTTCAAAAATAAAACTCACATTAAAATATCAGTTACAGAAACAAATCTTGTTATACTTTTTTATCTTTAATTTGTTTCTATTTCCTTTCTCTTACATAATTGTAACAAATGACAGCATAACTTAGTAAACAAACCTTTTAAAACTAATTAATTTTCTATATATTTTGACTATTATATCCTTCTAATTTTATTAAAAAGATAAACCTACCAGAAAATATTTTACATTAAAGTTTCAATAATAGAAATAAATCTTAATGAATTTTTACCTTCAATGATTTCTTTCTCTTTTTCTTATAATTTTAAAAGTCACATAATAAAAAATCATTCTTTTTTAACATATGTTATCCATAAATTTTACTTAAAAAACCTTTACATTTTTTTAATGAATTTTAAATATATAGAATTAGAAATTTTAAA